CCACTAATATATATATAATTTTTGCACTTTCTAAATGTTCCTTGGAGTATGGGTAGATTACACCTTTTTGATACTGCTATCTGAAGAAATCATCTTTTATTCATTTATCTCAGCTGTTCTTTTGTCTTATTTTTCTTCCTCGCAGCTCATTCTAATTAACCGTGACATTTATTTGTGTGTTTGTGTAATGTGCCTGTTCCAAGCTCACAGTGAAGTGATTTAGTGCTCTAGATAGCTGTTAAGCAATAGGCTATTGTAAGTAAAAGGGATATTTTCATTCTGACAGCCTCCAGTCTTCTCCTTTTTTGGTTTATTTAGAAAAAATGACTGACACACAACTCATATGAGATGTAATCAGTATATTTCCCTGGCAAAATGTGCTCTTATCCCATCTAACACTGTATCATGCTGCACCTACTCTGTTCTGTTTAATATCGATAAATCTTAGGAAGGAATTCCATCCTTTCCCATTTCAGACAGGTAAGATTATCCTCTGACAGAGTTTGTACGTTTTTTCCTGGCAGAAGGTTGCAATGTCTGAAAAGTGATGTGTTCTGTTCTAAACGTGTCACTATAAATTAAATGAGGTACAAACATTCCAATAAACACTTGGTTATGTAAAGGAATTACTTAAATCTCCTTTGACACTTTGTATTTGATTTCTTGCACCTTGCTTATCTGAGTTTACATTTTCTCTTCACCTCTCCTTATTTCTTAATAATAAGGAAGGGGGGGGGGGGAGGGCTGTCACAGTGTCAACAGATTTGCCCCTGGTGTGGAATATATCTTTTGCTTGTCTCCACTAAGTTGCTGTTTATTTTCAATGTGGCTTCACTACTGTAGCAAAGAACTCACTGCATGGAATCCACATGATCCTTGAGCAATCCATTTTCATGGCTCTGTGGGAGGCTGGTTCTTTCATGTGGATGGAGAGAAAGGAACCTAGCTTTGGCGTGAAATGGGAGCAGTTCCTGCTTGCCCTCTGTGATGAGGCCAGAACAGCAGTGAAGGATGGCAAGAAAGGGCTGCCTAGGAAACTAGAATACTCTGAAAGCTGCCCATGCTAAGCATGCATACTGTTCCTACACTAGTATAAATGGTGGCCTGTTAAGAGTATGGTTGAAGAGGAACAATCTCCTGTGATAACTGGGTAAACGGTTGATTCATATAATATCTAATATTCAAATGGTTCCCGTCTCCTGAGCTAAATTCTGAAGCATGAGCTAAGACCCTCTCACTGCACTGTTCACCTTCTCCAAATGTCCAGCTGATTACCAAGAGAGTCCAAAGGCTCAAGATGTGGCAGTGATGTGCCAATCCTGCCAAGCTGAAGTGCTGTCTGGTAGTATGTACAGAATGAACACCTCACTCCCCAAACAGACTCCTCCCCAGATTTTGATTACCCCATCTCCTTCACATCACTGGGGCCTGTGGATTACTCACTCCATGACAACCGTGTGGAGCACTAAAAAGAGAGAGACTAGGACTAGGTGCTTGAAAGTAAATAAAGAATGCCCTTGTCAAAGGGAAATTAGAGGTGCAGTGGGTGTTTACAGTGGCTTTGTATCCCAATTTATGGCTGTATTAGGAGGGGGTTCTATTTAAGTCCTAGCACAAAGAATGATCCAGGATTCGAACTTGGGAGTTTGCATCTTCCTCCAGCCTCCTGCTCATATCACTAGACTCCTGTCACTTTGAACAGAGCTGTCTGAAGAGTGAGTCAGTCTCCTGGACTGCCAGTGGGATGACTGCAGATTAACAGGGGATTCTCTTCCCATTTCTGCCAAAGCCTAAAACAGAGGTTCTCCTTTCTGGACTTTAAATGAACATAACATAAGAATGGCCATACTGGGTCAGACCAAAGGTCCATGTAGCCCAGTAGCCTGTCTGCTGACAGTGGCCAGCACCAGGTGCCCCAGAGAGGGTAGACTGAAGACAATGATCAAGCAATTTGTCTCCTGCCATCCTTCTCCAGCCTCTGACAAACAGAGAGCCTTTTATGGACCTAACCTCCATGACTTTATCCAGCTTCTCTTTAACCTCTGTTATAGTCCTAGCCTTCACAGCCTCCTCTGGCAAGGAGTTCCACAGGTTGACTGCACGCTGTGTGAAGAAGAACTTTCTTTTATTAGTTTTAAACCTGCAACCCATTAATTTCATTTGGTGTCCTCTAGTTCTTCTATTATGGGAACTAATGAATAACTTTTCTTTATCCGCCCTCTCCACACCACTCATGATTTTATATACCTCTATCATACCCCCCTCATTTCTCCTCTTTTCTAAACTGAAGAGTCCCAGTCGCTTTAACCTCTCCTCATATGGGACCCGTTCCAAACCCCTAATCATTTTAGTTGTCCTTTTCTGAACCCTTTCCAAGGCCAAAATATCTTTTTTGAGGTGAGGAGACCACATCTGTACACAGTATTCAAGATGTGGGCGTACCATAGTTTTATACAGGGGCAGTAAGATATTCTGGGTCTTATTTTCTATCCCTTTCTTAATAATTCCTAGCATCCTATTTGCCTTTTTGACCGCCGCTGCACACTGTGTGGAAGCTTTCAGAGAACTGTCCACGATAACTCCAAGATCTCTTTCCTGATTTGTCGTAGCCAAATTTGCCCCCATCATACTGTACGTGTAGTTGGGGTTATTTTTCCCGATGTGCATTACTTTACACTTATCCACATTCAATTTCATTTGCCATTTTGTTGCCCAATCACTCAGTTTGGTGAGATCTTTTTGGAGTCCCTCACAATCTGCTTCTGTCTTGACTGTCCTAAACAGTTTTGTATCATCCGCAAACTTTACCACCTCACTGCTTACCCCTTTCTCCAGATCATTTATGAATAAGTTGAAAAGGATTGGTCCCAGGACTGACCCTGGGGGGACACCACTTGGTAGTGCTTTACTCTGCTTTTATGGCAGTACTGTAGAATGGCTTAACGATGGAGCCCAGCAGGATAGTTGGGGAGAGAGAGATCGTATCGACAGTCCATGGCTATTTACAGTAAGAGTTGAGGTGCCATCCCTGTCTGTGTTACTGTGGCCTGGCATCCACAGGCACATTCAAAACGAAATACTGTATTCTTCTTTGCAACAAGTCTTGGAATATTATGCTTCATTGCTGTACCTCACTACAGCTGCCATATTTCATTTCAGAGGCATCTGTATGTCAGTGGTGGAGCAGTGATACCTTTGTATAGCTTGTGGATCTATTTAGAGTCCAACTCTGGCATGCTCAGTGGCATGGCCAGCATGGGTAAAGATTATAGTTGGTCAGAAATTTTCCAGTGGAATGTTTCTTCATCAGAAAATGCTGATATATCTAAACTAAAATGCTCCATGGGAACATGTTGCTTTTGATGGAAGTCAGGTAGCTTTCTGACAGAAATGTGCCTGGTTTCTTGGTAGCTCTGTCCTAGGTCCCAGGGCTTCAAGGCACCTTGCCATCAAGCCTGAAGGACTCCATGGCCACCTCAAGTCCCTGGGCTTCTAGACACCTTCCATTCAGCATAGAATCTTCTAAAGCATTACTAGTTTTAAACTCTAGCTCACTCAGGCTACGTCTACATTGCAGCCTTTTGTCAGCAGAGACAATGCAAATGAAGCACTCATTAGCATTTGTTGTGCTGTCGTTTGCATATTTTCTGCCGATGCTTTTTGTGGAAGAGGTTTTTGAACAAAAACAAGCAGTGTAGACGGGGCTCTTTTGTGCAAAACCCCCCTTTTGCGCAAAAGGTCCCTTTAATTGCCTCGTGTCCTGAGTGGGCTTCCGTACGTGTGGTGCAAGTGTTCACTCCTAGAGGTGACTGGGGGCTGGGCTGGAGGAGAGCAGCAAGAGCTCCTCAAAAAAGTGCATACCGTCACAAAAAAAGTGCTGTGTGTACCTAATGTTTAACTGGTTAATTGACTAAGCGTGATCAGGGTTGGGGACTTTTCCAGCTTGGCTGGAGCAGCCCCCAACCCTTGGGACTCCCATCCCCAACCCTGCACAGAGGCTGGCTGCCAGCTCCCAGCTCTCACACTGCAGCTGGGCAAGGCCCTGCCATTGCCTCCTGGGTCCCAGCCTCCACTGAAGCAGTCCCTGCCTCTGGGGTGCCCAGGCTCATTGCGGACAGAGGCTGCTCTGGGCAAAAGCAGCCCCTGTCTGCAGCTGCTCCAGCCCCCATAGGTTACCAGTTAACTGGAACCGGAAAGCATTACCTATTTAGGATGATGCTTACCAGTTAATCGGATAGCTGGTTAACATTTCACATCCCTAGTTATTGGCACTGGAATGATTTATCTATGGTTAAGGTAAATTCTCTGTCACTGACCATTTTAAAATCAAGATTGGTAGACACTCCAGGAGTTTTTTTGAGGATGTTCTATGGCTTATGTTATACTGGAAGTCACATTAGACTGTCACAGTGGTCCCTTCTGACATTAGAATCCATGTATCAATTAAACAACTTTAAATTCCACAAAATATTATTTTGTCTAATAGAGAGAAGGTTAGAATCCCACTGTAAAAGCCCATATTTGGTTTTGGCTCTCAGGGAAACATGCTTGCATCTTTCATCTCAAAGGATGCTCTGCTGTTTCTAAACATAATTTACTTTTCCTTATTTTTCCCTTTTCTGCTTGTTCTTTATATTTATAATACATTTTAGTAGCTTAAAATTGTGTCACTCCCAGTTTGATCCTCTGTGTCGGTCTATGGTGGAGGCCCTTTCATCTTCAGTGGCAGCTTTGAGGAAGAATTGTAATGCCACGCCCTTTTTGAACCTTTTATTTTGCTGGGTTGTAGGCATGCAGAAGACCAATGTGGTTGTGGTTGTTTGCTTTGTCAGTGAAGCGGTGGCAACCTTCTCAGTAATACCAGCAGGGCTGTGCACAGTTATAAGATTGTATCTATAATTGCTATTCATGATTCTCCACTGTTCCACCTTGGATAGTAATGCATATTGGTGAAACGTGTGTATGACAAGACCACTGAATTGGTGATGTTTTATATGTAGGTGGCACAAGCATACAAGATTACACATAATGCGGAGCCAGGAAAATCAAGTCCATAATATTAGTTACAGTCCTGAGAGAAGTAATTATGAATTCTGTCCTCATGGTACCAAAAGGAGGTAATTTTTCAATGTGTCTGTGATGACGTGTTAAAAAAATAATAGTTTGTTTAGATTTAATTATATTTATTTATATCTTCCTTTGTGCTGGTCACTGTACAAACACAGTGTAGAAGATAATCTCAGCCTCAAAGTGCTTAAAAATGTAAAAGTAATTCCATAATGAACTAAACCACTTTTAAAGTAAGGCCAGGTTTGGACATAAAGTGCTCCTCTGGCACTCTCTAAGGGTGTGTCTAGACTACCTAGTTTTGTCGACAAAAGTGGACTTTTGTCGACAAAACTATACCAGCGTCTACACTACCGCTGAGTTCTGTCGACATAACGTCGACAGAACTCAGCAGTTTTGTCGACGCTGGTATACCTCATTTTACGAGGCATAACACCTTCTGTCGACAGAACTCTGTCGACAGAAGGTGTTATTGCCTGTAACATTGCGTCCAGACTACGGAGTTCTGTCGACAAAGCAGCTTGCTTTGTCGACAGAACTCAATGTGTCTGGACGCTCTTTGTCGACGGAAGTTTTGTCGACAGTATCTGTCGACAAAACTTCCGTCGACAAAACGCGGTAGTCTAGACGTACCCTAAGTGTCACCCAAAATACACTAAGGGCTTCACAGAATAAGTTACTAAAATACGACAGGTTCTTGCCCTTAAAAGTTTCCCGTCTGTGCACTGTGGGACTGATAATAATCACTATAGGTTCAATCCTTTTCCTTCTGAAATAACTGGTAAACTTCCATTGATTTCAATTATGTACAATCATGCCATATGCCTGGTAGTGTTTGCTGAAGCAGACCTTAAAATGGGCAGCACACAGAAAGAAAAGAAAGAATTGAGGAAACAAACAAACAGCTAAGGGTCTGGAATAAGAAGAGAAAGGAATCCATCCGATGAATTCTAAGGTAGCCTGAGTTACTGTCAAAGGTTGAAGATGATGGACTGAATTTTTTTATTGTGCTGTTTCTATTAACCGTGAATTGTTTTTTGTTATTTCAGGCTTTGACATGTATCTGCCTAAGCCACAAACTCAAAATGGTGCTACAACTCATATCTCTATGACCATTCCAGGAGATGACTACATATGTTTTTATTTAGATAAGCTATAATTATGTAGACTTTCAGCTGCCTTGGCAATTTTGATCCATTTGTGACTTGTCACATAGATCTCCAGTATATAAAAATAAAACAAAGGCTAATTGAAAGAAAATGAATTGGTTGAGTTTGTTAATCTAGTGTGCCTCAAGGAAAAGAGTGTAGTGACCTTGTTTCAGATATCATATGTGAACTGAAGAAGGTGGGTAGATTTTATTCCCTTGGGGAATATAGTTTGGTAATTAAATCATGCCTTCACATGGGAGTATTTCCTAGTCAATCCCACCCTGTCTGCATCTGACATGTACTGTCCTATTTTAGAATCTTATTCCAGTTTTGACTATATGAGTAACTTGAACAGACTTATGCTGCTACCATAATCATTTGTTTTGGTGACAGGCAGAGATAACTGCTAAAGTATAAATGGAAATACCTAACTGATCTGCTTATAACCTCCATTATTTATGATTGGACTGCAAAGACATCAGATTATCATTGTAGGAAAGAAGTGTAAAGTAAACCCAGTTATTAATCATTAGCTTTTTGTAAAGCAGCAGCACTCTCTTACATATACAGTGAATAAATTATTAAATAGACATCCAGTCATTGAACTGGTGTTACCAAGAAATCTGGCAACATTTAATTGGGAGGCTTTGAAATTTATTGCATAAAAATCATTAAGTATAGATTCCAGAATAATATATTGATCCCTCTTATAGGTTGTAAGGAATGCTAGTATTTTAAACAAACCCCACTCCTGTGATGCAAGTTTTCATACACTGTAAGTCAAATTGCCCAAAATGAACAGAACAGTGAACAGGTTTTTTTTTTGTGTGTGCGTGCCAGTTTAATGCTAAAAATCATCCTTAGTGTGAAACCAGGATTTAAAGTGTACTTCATGAGACACTCAAAGCTTTTGTATTCCAAAGATTTCTCTTCGGTAATTATTCTCACACAAAGCAGTGTGGCTTCTTGGAGAGATACTAGTTATTTATATTACTGTTCCATGTTATACAGGGGAGCTGTGTCTAGACTGGCAAGTTTTTCCGCAAAATCATCTGCTTTTGTGGAAAAACTTGCCAGCTGTCTACACTGGCCGCTTGAATTTCCAGAAAAACACTGACGATCTCATGTAAGATCGTCAGTACTTTTCCGGAAATACTATGCTGCTCCCGTTCGGGCAAAAGTCTTTTTCCGAAAGACTTTTGCACAAAAGGGCCAGTGTAGACATCACAGTACTGTTTTCCGCAAAAAAGCCCCGATCGCGAAAATGGCGATCGGGGCCTTTTTGCGGAAAACCGTGTCTAGATTGGCCATGGACGCTTTTCCGCAAAAAGTGCTTTTGTGGAAAAGCATCCTGCCAAACTAGACGTGCTTTTCCGAAAATGCTTTTAATGGAAAAGTTTTCCGTCAAAAGCATTTTTGGAAAATCATGCCAGTGTAGACGTAGCCGGGTAGTTTATTGTCTCTCTATTGATACTCAGCAGTATCAGTGGATACCTTGGGAATCCTTTTTTCTACTTAGTCATAGAGGAAACTGTATTCAGGATATTTTCACAGCTGACTTCAAATCTTTCCAAAGATATATTTATTTGGGTCTGCCATACTCTCAGCAACATGTTTTTAATCCAGCAAAAAGAATGAACCTTGACTATTTCAAATATAGCATAATCTCTTTCTTTTGACAAGATTTGCACAAAATGTAGACAACATTCCAACAAAGATCTGCTTAGCATACTTTGGGATTATTTAAAATATAAACAACTGATAAAGCAATGTGTTATGCATTGTTTTGTTTTGTATTTACAGGAATGAAGCCGATTCTAAACCATTAAAAATAATAGTGCCATTTGAAAGTGAATGGAGTTGTTTACACCTGCTGGTGTAGTGGTGCAGTTGACACCTTGTTTGTTCCATCACACAAGTTCACTGGGGTGAAGCCTCAGGAAGAGGCCAAATTAATTAACATTTGTGAGTTGCTCAGATATGATGACAATGATTATCACAGTGACATCTGTACAAAGTCATAAATTGTTAGGCATAAAATAAGAAGCTTTTGTTATACATTGGTTGCCTAAAATAATGACCTTTTTTTGCAATTATAGTCTTCCTTTCTTCCAGAAGTTTCTAAAGCACATCACAAATTATACAGTATTAGTTATTATTTTATTAGGTAATTTCTATGCATTAGTATGATTGGGGAATTACTATGGATTTATGTTTCCAATCCTGCAATTGATAACATGCAAGTGAACTGTTGACGATGATCTATGCAAGAGGTGCAGCTAAATGTACTATCAGTTGCAGGGATGAGGCTTCAAATTTCTATATATTCAACTATATATATGCCACATATAAACTAGGTACTTTATTTTAGACCCTGATTCATCAAGCATTTAAGCATTTAATGGGCTTGAACCCATTCCTATTCAGCAAAGCATCTATGAAGGTGCTTAAATCCTTTTGAAGTCAATAAGCATGTGCCTAAGTGCCTTGCTGAACCTGGGTCCTTAGCTGTCTTTGTGATGAAAGCATTTAACAGTGCATAGAAACCTGGTACAGGCAGTCCCCGAGTTACGCGGATCTGACTTACGTCGGATCCGCAGTTACGAACGGGGCCGTCTCCCTGGTCTCCAGCAGACCAGGGAGATGGGGAGCAAAGCAGAGCAAAGCCGCAGAGCCCGAGGGCAGCAGGACAGCCACGGGGCATCTGGGCTGTCCCGCTGCCCCCGAGCTCCGCGGCTTTGCTCCGGACGCCTGTGGTACAGCAGCTGGGGCGCTGCCGGTTGGTCGCGTAGCGCCGCTCTGGGCGCTACTGGACAAACCCGGCAGCACCCCAGCTGCTCTGCCCCAGGCATCCTGATTCAGCCACTGCTGGTCAGAA